ATCCGAACCCTCGGCAGGAGCGCCGCCACGCTCCCAAGTGGCGCACTCTCCAGTGCGCCACCGGGCTGGCCCAGGATGCATTTTTTAAAGAATACAGTGATGATTCTGAAAATCCACTTTGTTAAAAGTTTTTAAGGCTAGGCACATTTTTGTTTTCCAGTTCTCTGGTAGTTATTTTCTATTCATCTTATTCTAAGTTCTTTATAGAATGATGTGCACTCTACACAGTATAATAGTGTGGATTGATCTTGAATACTTTTCAACAGAGGTTGTAATAGTCTGCTTCATGAGCTATTTTACACGGCATGAGCCCAGAATATAGCATTATTGCAGAAGTAAATCAACTTTTCTGGGCTTTTCTTTGCAAGCACTAATTTCATTCAGAAAATAGTTAAAAAAATTTGGCAACCGTGATATGAGGTACCAGTGACAATTATTTAAAAAGCTAATTTTCATTTATAATCGAAATATTCATTTTGGCAGGAATATTATAGAAATATTTATAGAAATATTCTATAATGTGCTCTTAAAGTTAATGAATTTCATTGTTAATTAGAAATGCATTTTTAGTAATAGGACTTGTTTCTCCATTGTTTTGGGGTTCAAAAGAAACAATGTATCTGTTACAGAATGTAAATTTTTTTTTCTTCATTTATCACTTATGATTCTGACTTAACTAAGATACATAGCCCATTTTTTCAGTTATCTAAATTTTCATTGTGCATAATTTCTGGTTAAACTTGACCTTGTAAAAATAGGCTGTTAAGCAAACTTTTAATGTTTGTCTTTAGCAGATGATGGAATGGGCCTAGATCTTTTTTTTTTTTTTTTCCTTTTTGTCTCTTTTTTCGTGTCCAGCAACGGATCGCAACCCTCAGTGTCGCGCCCGTACCGGGCCGGGACCGGCAACGGGATCGCAACCCTCGGTGTCGCGCCCGCACCTCGCTCAGCCAGTGAGCGGGAACCAGTCTGTATGTGGGATCTGAACCCTCGGCGGGGCGCCGCTGCACTCCCAAGCGGCGCACTGTAGCAGTGCGCCACCGGGCCGTGGGCCTAGATCTTTTAATTCTATTTTTCCACAAACTTTTTGAAGTTCCCTGTATTTGCATCCTGTGGACTCAGTAAACATTTTATTAAATAGGTATCGGATATCTGGTATGTTTTTTTATGCTAGCTGTTCAGCATAAAGAGATGATAAGATACAGAGCATGCCCTCAGAGCTCAGTTTAGTGAGGGGACTATGGAACATCCTCGGAGTGTCAGAAAAGACTTCTAAGAGAAGTGATGATTGAGATGAGACTCAGTTTGACTTCACTGCATTGAAAAGTCTGGGAGGGGCGTTCTAGGCAGAAGGAACATCTGTAAAGGAAGGGAAAAGTATGGCATCATAAAGGGAGAAATTTGCTATGGCTGGACCATATTTCAAGCGGGGAATAGGAATGAGTGAGAGATGGGAAGATGAAGCTGGGAAGAAGGTGGATAAGAACTACAAATTGAAGGGGTCTTGTTATTACCATTGTTTACAGTATGAGATGAGGAACCACTGATGGTTTTTAATAGAACAGGATTGTAATTAGATTTGCATGGGTTGGTCTATAGTAGTGTTTTTGAAAATTTTCATTTTATAAATTACACATTCTTTTACTTTTTTTTTTGTATGTAGACTCAGAAGTAAGCTACAGTCGTGAAGAAAATACACTTGTTAATCCCATGTAAATAATCAGAATGTGGCTCATAATTAGAGTTCAGTATTTTAGCTAACAGGGTTTAAAAAATAATTCAGTTGACCTAGGTTTTTGTTTTATTGTCATTAGCAACTGGATGTGTAATTTTGGGTAAACGACTTTAACATTTATCTAGCAAACTTATGGAATATTATGTGCCAGAGTCTTTGGTAGGGACTATAGATATTGAGATGAATTATCTGTGGTTTCTACCCTCTAAGAAATTGCATCCTAGTAGAGGTGGTCCTTTTTTCCTTGTATAAAATTGGAGATAGTCATGCTTGTCTAAATGGATATTTGTAAACAGTGGAAGTGGTTTTGGAGGAAGACTAATATATTTATGAATTAACTCCTAGAAAAAAAATCTAAATAGTAAATTTCATGAGAATCATATGAGATATAATGTAGGAAAGTATTTTATACAAATTGTAAAACTTTATTTAAGGGTAATTATTTTGAGCATCAGGTCTTATGCTTAAAATGATAATTTCATTTTATTTTTTCAGGCAAACAACATGGGTGTTGGAGTAGTTGGAATTATAGAGTGTAATTTCCTTAAGCCAACTCATAATAAACAAGATTTCGACTATACTAATGAGTACAGGTATGTTACCTATTTAAATTATTGACTGAGATTTGTAGGAAATGGATTACCAAGAAAGCAGAAATGTGCTCTATTTTCTACAAATCTCAGAAATACTTCATCCGTAAAGATAGGGTAGAATATACTACTTGTGATGGAGTAGATTACAGTTCCTAGGATGGAAGAAGATGGTTGAATCTGTTTTCTATGTAAGCCCCTCACCTACCCATTTTCTTAAAATTCTGTAATATAATTACATTTTTGTAATTACATAGAAAAATATCCACAAGATGGCAAAAAATTTAACTTAGAAGAAGTTATAAAACTATTTCCAAAATTAACTTTGAAAAGAAGTCAATAATTTATTTATTTATTTATTTTTGTCTTTTTCGTGACCGGTAAGGGGATCGCAACCCTTGGTGTGGTGTCGCCCATACCGCACTCAGCCAGTGAGCACACTGGCCATTCCTGTATAGGATCTGAACCCACGGTGGGAGCGTCGCTGTGCTCCCAGCGCCGCACTCTCCTGAGTGTGCCACGGGGTTGGCCCAAGTCAATAATTTAAATAGGTAAATAGAAGGCCTGGCCAGTGATCTAGCCCATCATTGCTGAAGGGTATGAGTGGGCTGGAGCTGGTCTTCAGAAGGTGCCTGTCTTAGTCTGTATTCTTTTGGTATAATGATACCTGAGACTGGGTAATTTATAAAGAAAAGAGGCTGGTATGTTCAAGAGCATGGTGCTGCCACCTGGTGGAAGGCAGAAGTGAGCATGTAAAAAGAGAAAACGAGGGGCAGGCTTTTATAACAGCCTGCTGTCGCGATAACTGACCCACTTTCTTGATAACTACATGAATTCATTCATGGGAGCTCTGCCCTCATGACTTGATCACTTACTAGGCTTTACTTCCCAACACTGTTGCATTGGGGATTACGTTCCCAATGTGAATTTTGGGGGACACATTCAGATCATATTATTGCCCTATGTGCTGGAGGTTGTGGGCTGCTAGAGCCAGCAGCACACTGCTGGTAGGCAGAGCATGGCTCAAGAGTGCATGGGGAGCTCCTCTAGGAGGCCACTGGGCTCCGGCCAAACAATAACAATAGAGTACCAGAACATGGACTGGATTTGGAACTGAGAGACAGTAAATTGATAACTGACATAATCAAAAAGCCAAAAGTTTGTTCTTTGATAAGATTAGTAAAGTCTTTGTGCATCTGATTAAGACAAGACTGATTAAGGGAAAAAGAAAATACAAATCATCAAATCAAAAACGAAAAGGAGAACTTTATACAGATCTTACAGACACAAAAACATTAAGGGAGTAGCATGAACAGTTTTTCACTGTTTTAGATGACATGGACACATTCCTTTGAAATTGAATCAGTTTTTAGAAAACTTCCCCATATTAAATTCAAACATTTAAGAAAGAAGTGGTATCAGTCTTACACAAAACTCTTAAAGGTTTTATGAGGCTACATAACCTTGAAAGGAAGCACAAGAGTACATCATTAAGAAAGGAAATTAATCTCTCATGATCATAGGTATGAAAATATAATTAAAATGCAGTAATCCCCCCATGGGGGATATATTCCAAGACCCTCAGTGGATGCCTGAAATTGAAAGCAATGATAATACCAAACCCTGTAAATACTATGTGTGAATTTATTTTTTCTTCTTCAGTTTCACAGATAGAAGATTCATTCTTATCAGAGATCTTAGCAACCTCAGCATATGATATTTGTTCTTTCCTTTTTAAGTCGAGAACTTTCACCTTTTCATCTAAAGGAAGAACTTTACAGGTTCTCTTAGGCATATCCAAATTGCTAGCATCGATACTCTTGCTCTTTGGGGCACTTATTAACTAAAATAAGGGTTACGTGAACACAAGCACTGTGATACTGTGACTGGTGACCTGCTACTAAGTGACTAGGGGGCGGGGAGCATCTACAGTGTGGATAAACTGGATAAAAGGATGATTCACGTCCCAGGCGGGATTTCATCATGCTACTCAGAAGGGTGCACACTTAAAACTTAGGACTCATTTATCTTTGGAATTTTCCATTTAATGTTTTCAGACTGTGATTGACCTTGGGTATCTGAAACCACAGATCAGGGGGAAACTACCATAATAGCAGATACTATCTAGTGATATGTAAAAAGGATAATACCATTTTTTATTTTTATTTATTTATTTATTTATTATTTTTATTTTTTTTTGTCTTTTTCCGTGTCCGGCAACGGATCGCAACCCTCAGTGTTGCCCCCGTACCGGACCGGGGACCGGCAACGGGACCGCAACCCTCGGCGTTGCCCCCGCGCCTCGCTCAGCCAGTGAGCGGGAACCGGTCTGTATGTGGGATCTGAACCCTCGGGCGGGGGTGCCGCCGCGCTTCCCAAGCGGCGCACTATCCAGTGCACCACCGGGCCGGCCCCTTATTTTTATTTTTTTTAAAGATGACCGGTAAGGGGATTTTAACCCTTGACTTGGTGTTGTCAGCACCACGCTCAGCCAGCGAGCGAACCAGCCATCCCTATACGGGATCCGAACCCGGGGCCTTGGTGTTAATCAGCACCACACTCTCCCAAGTGAGCCACGGGCTGGCCCAAAAGGATAATACCATTAAAGCCAAGTGGGCTGTATTCTAAGATAGCATGGGTGGTTTTAATATTCAAAAATCAGTGTAATTCAAAACATTGATGATAAAAAAGAAAACTCTGTGGTCATCTTTATAGATACAAGAAAAGCTGATAAATTTCAGCACCCATTTGTGACTTAAAAAGAAAAAAAAGGAACACTTACAAAATCATGAATCAAAGGGCATATTAAGCAGTGAGAGAGTATTTACAAAAAACAGCAAGCATCATTCCTAATTGTGAATTATTGGTAGCTTTTCCTGTAAGAGTTTGAATGAGATAAGGATATCAGCTATTCACCAATGTTGTTGAGGAAATAACTAGTACAATAAGGCAAGAAAGATGAAAATTAAAAGGATTGGAAAGGAAGAAATAAAAGAGTTCATGGAAAGATTCGTATTTTGTTTTTCCACAAACTTTTTGAAGTACGCTTGTATTAAGTACATAGAAAGTTGAAAATAAAGTATAAATTAATAATGGAACCAGTTAGTTAATGTGTATCCGAGGGTGGTTGGATAAGAAAAATCAATTGTGTGACACCAGTAAAAAAAAAAAACCACGAAATTTTCAAAAAATCACTTGTAATAGCATCAAAAACTCATCATGTACTTTGTCATAAATATAATAAGTACATACAAAGATCTCTACACCAAAGACTGCATAAAGTTGTGGAGAGAAACTTAAGACCCAAATAAGTAGGTATACCAGATTCAAGAATTAAAAGGCTGAATATTATAAAATGTCAGCTTTTCTCCATAATGATAAATATGATTCCAATTTTTAAAAAAGTCCTATCAGATGTATGTGGGTGTCTATAAACAGGCTTATTCTAAATTTTATGTGAAAAGTCAGAACACCGTACATAGCTAAGATAATCAGTAAAGAACAACAAAGCAAGTAGATTTGCACTACTAGGTATTAACTTACTATAAAGCTGTATTAACTAAGAAGGTGTAATATTAGTGTAAGGATAGACAGATAGCCTAGTGAAATAGAATACAGAAGCCAAAAACAAGCCTATACTATATATATATTATGGTCACCTGATTTATGACAAAGGTTACACATTACAGTGTAGTGGGGAAAATGCTAGGTCATATAGCTATCATAGGACTATCCACATGGACACAATGAACCTTAACCCCTGCCTTTCAAATGCAAATAACTTCTAGAGGGATTTTTCACCCTAAAGGAGAAAGACAAAAACAAAAGGAAAACAATATTTTCATGACTTTTAGTTAGGCAGATTTTAAAAATGGGGCACAAAAAGTATAGGCTATAATGGACAAAAATGGAAAAATTATCTAAAATGAAAAAGACATAGCAAATGTTGGCATATGTAAGGCAGTTGGAAGTCTCATAGGTTGCTGGTGGGTGTGAAAGTTGTTGATCATTTTTGAAAGCTATTAGGCTATATGGAATAAAGCTGAACATCAGTACATACCCTATAACCCTATAAACCTATGATTCCTACTCCTAAGCATACTATCAACAGAAATGGGTAGAGTCTCATGGATTGAGGAATACAGGTGATGAGAAAAAGATGAGGAAGAATCAAAATAGTGATAGGAAGGGAAAAGCAGGTTTGGGAGGGAAGGTAGATTCTTGTTTGGACTTTTATATGTGATGTGTTAGTGGGACTTCCTGGTTGGAAAACTAAAGTAGGGGACAAAAAGTGGAAATAGGTCACAAGGTGATGTTATGTCTAATATTAATCTGCCAGAGTATAAAATGTGAAGTCCTGATTTTTAAAAGCTTTATTTTAAATTCAGAATGTTACATGGCTTGTGTCTTATGTTCTATGTATGTGGTTTCAGGCACAGGAAATGCTTAACTAGTTTACACATGATTACTCAGTTTTGGCCTTAGTCTTCTTAATTTCATTGATATGGTTTTTATTAACATCTTATTGTGGGAGAAGTGGAAGTCTTAATTGTGGGACAAAAGCTATTTTGAAGTACTTGTATACTTGGTAGTAACGATTGCTTAAAAGTTGTGTACCAAAGTTTGAATTCTAATTTGAGTTGAAGCTTGTAAGTATGTTTGGGGTTGAAATGCAGGGAGCCTCTGGTTCTAGTAATTGCTCATACTTTCTCAACAGAGGACCCAACATACTGTTTTGTGTCATTTCCTAGATGATCCTGGCTCTGCTGTAGGAATTTAGAAAGATCCTCGTAGAAAATTGGCGTTACTTTGAATGTTCTTTTTAACTGTACATTTTGTAGTTTTTTCTCCTCGCAGTGTGCATTTAATTACGAATATGTATGCTTTCTCTTGTATTTGGAGAGATTTATCATTTTTTCTTGAATTGATTTTATAATTTACTTTAAGGCTTACAATAGCAGCACTAGGAGAAAAACTGAATGATTACTGGAATGAAATGAAAGTGAAGAAAAATGCAGAATATCCTCTAAATTTGCCAGTTGAAGATATACAGTAAGTACATTTAAAAAAATATCAACTCACTCTGATATCAAGTGGTATTGGAGAGTATAGACATTGTACAGTTTTGCAAAGTTATGATTCTAACTCGTAGTAGGAGATAAGTTCTGCAACGTGAATCAGCACACTGCAAAATAAATTAATGAGTATATATACGTATACACACAAAGGATTCATGAAACAGTATTTATCCATATTTGTAATGCATGTTGATATCATTTATTTCATTTTAAAAAGGCTAATTTGGAGGATGGCTGGTTAGCTCAGTTGATTAGAGTGTAGTGTTATATAACACTAAGGTTGAGGGTTCAGATCCCTGTACCATCCAGCCACCAAAAATAAATACAAAGGCTAATTTTGACTCTATTAAGTTGATTTTACTGTTTATTAATGGGTTGCATCTCATAGTTTGTAAAACACTGCTCTAGTGTAATCATTAGGATCATGGGTCTAAAGCCAAACTTGAGTTCAGATTCTAGTTCTGCTGCTTAAGTAGCCCTGTGACATTGAGCCTTTCATAAGCTTATGTTTTCTCCTGTATAAAATGGAAACATTAACAACACTTACCTCCTAGAATCACAAAACTTAAATAATATGATGCCTGACAAGCATTTAGTAACATACATAACATAGTAACAATCTTATAAACGAATGAATGAGTAACATCTGCATGTACTGATATGGAAGGATATCCAAAATATGTAATGAAAAACAAAGATGCAGTTCAATGTGTAAATTTCTCATTTTATTTTTTTTCAAGTATCCATATAGACATCTATACTTTTATAAGCATAGAAAATTTCTGCTGGGATTAAAAAATTAACAGTGGTAATCTCCTGAAACAGGGTTTATTTTTACTTTATAAATTTCTGAATTGTTCTGAAGTTTTATATAAATGTGTAAGCGCATTTTTAAAAATTAGTTTTAAAAAGTTTTATTGGCATTAAGGTGAAGTCTTCATATTTAAAATAAGTCCACATAAGTTCTTTATAGGAATCATCGTATTTTTCTTTTTTTAAAAGATGACCAGTAAGGGGATCTTAACCCTTGACTTGGTGTTGTCAGCACCACGCTCACCCAGTGAGCTAACTGGCCATCCCTGTATGGGATCTGATCCCGCGGCCTTGGTGTTCTCAGCACCACACTCTCCCGAGTGAGCCATGGGCCAGCCCGAATCATCGTATTTTTCAAATGAGAAAAATATGAAAGCACTTTGTAAACTAAAAGAATACAAATTTTAGTTACTCAGAAATATGCTATAATGGAGGGTAAAAGTGTAATTATATCATTAAAAATTGCTTAAATTATAGTAACATGACTTCTCTATTTTCTGTACTTGAGTGGTTTATTGTGCTAATAAATATACTGTAGATTTGAGATTGTAGACACTAACATAAATTTCTGGGCAAGGTATCGAATATTTTTTAAGTTATTATCAAAGTACAAATTTAATTTTCTTAAATTTGACATTTAAATTACTAAACAAGACATTTAAATTGCTTTGTTCAAATTGGCCTGTGACCTTTAACCTTTTGGAGGTAATCAGAATGGTTGTTTTTAAAAATTTAGATTGCTATACAACAAAAATAGTTTTGTTACAGAATTTTCAGGAAAGGAATTAAACAATGGGGTACTTGGTGGTAGAAATGATGTAGAAAATCTAATGAAGTACTTAAAGTCCATCTTTTTATGTTAATATTTTTTTCTTGTTCTGTTATAGGAAACGTCCTGATCAGACATGGGTTCAGTGTGATGCTTGTCTAAAGTGGCGAAAATTACCAGATGGAATAGATCAACTTCCAGAAAAATGGTATTGCTCCAATAACCCTGACCCACAGTTCAGGTATCATACAGTTGGTAGTACTCTTTTTGGAAAGGCAGAACATATTCAAGATGTATGAATAGGCGCTGGTGACATGTTTTTCCCATGTGATTTTTCTGACTAGAAATTGTGAGGTTCCAGAAGAACCTGAAGATGAGGATTTGGTACATCCCACTTATGAAAAAACCTACAAAAAGAAGTGAGTGTTGTATTAATGTATGGTGGAGAAATAACATCCAGAATATGAACAGCAATGGGTCGGCAGCATTAGTTGGTATTTCTCCCAAGATAAAGCTAGTGTAACTAAAAGGTTATTTTATGGAGTGCATCTCAAGTCCTTTTTTTTTTTTTTTTTTAAGTTTATGCTGTGGATACCTTCTATTTACTCACCTGATGTTTATTGCTGTCCTATCTATGACATACTTTGCATAAGAGTAGTTTATCTTTTTGAGCCATACATTAACAGAGAACATGTATATTACCAATTAGAAGTTGATGAATACCGTAAGAGGTATGATCCAATATTGTAAGGAAACTCATAAGGAGAGGTTGCTTCTGGCTGAGGAAGGTGAGAGCAGGAGTGGATCAGGAAGCTTCATGAAGGAGGTCATTTTCTGGGCCGGCCCATGGCTCACTTGGGAGAGTGTGGTGCTGATAACACCAAGGCCATGGGTTCGGATCCCATATAGGGATGGCCAGTTAGCTCACTGGGTGAGTGCGGTGCTGACAACACCAAGTCAAGGGTTAAGATCCCTTTACCGGTCATCTTTTTTTTTTTTTAAAAAAAAAAAGGTCATTTTCGTAATAGGCCTTGAAGGATGGGTAAAATGAGAATGTACAGAGAACAGTGATTTGTTAGGTTAACTAGAGTAAATACGTGAATGGGAATAATAGAAAATGGAGGTGGGTTACATAAGCTGGGTATGATAGTCAGCCAGGCTGAACTTTAGTCTAATGTACTGTATGCAGAAGGCTGAGTTCATAAGAACCTTTCAGATTGTTTTAATTTGTAGTATGCTTTTCTTTAACTAAATTCATTAGCAGTATTGGAAGTAAAGAAAACAGTTAGAAGACTGCAATATTCCAGATCAGAGGTCTGCAGTTCATGCCTGTGGGTATTGAAAGCTTCAGGGTGTTATTGACAAAAAGGTGGAAGTATTCCCCTAAGGGCTTACCACTGATTATAACAAAATTAAAGTTTAGTTTATGTATCTGAGCAACTTGGTAGTTAAATGGCAGGTATGTCATTAGAAAATGGGATTGAGAAATAATGAAGTAATTGTAAATATGATAATTTTTTATCTTTCTTTTAAAGCAACAGGGAAAAATTCAGAATCAGACAACCAGAAACCATCCCTCGGGTAATTAAGCCTTCCATTTTATAGCTGTGTCTTATATTCGGTAGTGCTTAGTTCAACCAATACTAAATTTTAAAGTTTAGTACTTATATAACAGATTGAAGGGATCTTGTTTATTCTCTTCCCGTTCTCCTCTTTTCTTGTACCCCTGCTTGCACTCCTTTCTAACCCTAACTTCCTAACCCAGCAACATTGTTTAGTTGGACATCTTCTGAGGAAAGGCAACACTTAAGAATCATTGGTAGATAGGCAGTTAAGGAAACAGTCACAGGAACACCCAGCAAGCCATGTTCTAGTGCCAGCCTGGATAAAAGCAACAGTGTTTTTCTTCCCCTTTGTTGACTACTCTGCCTGGCCTTTCCATTTCTTACTTAATAGCATTAAGGAGCTTTGGTTGAGTATATGCATATGAGCAGATAGTTGTACATCTTGTGTAAGAAGTTTTGATCTGCTGCAGATGGGTATGTTTTCTTATGATTATACCAAAATATTTTCTAGGACTGGCCAGGTTAGGTCAGTTGGTGAGAGTGCAGTGTTGTCATAACACCAAGGTCAAGAGTTCGGATCCCTACACCGGCCAGCCATCAAAGAAAGAAAAAACATGTTTTCTATAATGCTGAGGGTTTGAGGGTGAGAACAGAATTGGGGGGGAAGTATAGTGGGCTTACTTTGGTTTTTAAAGGCAGTATCTTTATGACTCGTCTTTCTTTCTCTCAGAAAAAATAAGCTTTTATTATATTTCTATAAGTCCTATAGTATAGGAGTCACCATATAGTAAATCTTTTTGGCCTCATGGACTGCACACAGTCTCTGTTGCATGTTCTTTGTTTTGGTTGTTTTGTTTTGTTCACACCCTTTAAAAGCATTAAACCGTTCTTAGTCAGTTGCAGGCTGGATTTGGCTCATTGCTCTATTTGTCTATCCCTAGTGTAGCACAAGGAATTTACATGTTTAGGATAGTTCTCAATGTCTTCTGTAATAAGGAGAAAAGGGAAGATATATGCTATGTTTTAGGCATGTTACATTAAAATCCTTTAAGATCAGTTTTTTTTCCTCCAACAGATTAATGCTGATCTGTTGTTTCGGACAATTCCTATTCCAAGTCAGAACTTTTCTGCTGCAAAGGAAAGTGTTCCAAGAGGACATCTTTCAGAAGCAGCAAATTCTTATGCAACACGGCTTATAAATAATCATCAAGTTTCACCCCAGTCTGAACCTGAGAGCAACAGGTCAGTGGCTAAGATGTGTGTTTCCATTTGAAGAATATTAAACAGAGCCTTTACTTGACACTTCTATGCAATAATGCAGTTCCAGGAAATTGTAGTGTACATGAAAATTAAAAAATCTTAAGGGCAAATAATTTTGCTTTTATTGTCTAAACTTACCCCACTCAACTTCTGCCACCTATTTAAATTAATTTAAAACATATTAATTGTAATCATTGTGGAGTTTGATCAAATTGTCACTTCTTTGAACTTCTCTGTATACTGGAAGGTCCTGCTTTTAAGATGATCAGTATGTAGTGTTATCTTGGTCATTAAATTGCAAATTCTTATTATTTGAATGAAATAACCCACATGCATTTTTTGCACAAGAGGTGCACTCTGGAAAAGTTACATGTAAATAGGACTTTGTAAACAGTTTCCCAATTGACCAAGTATCTGATGTGTTTTTATTTAAAAAGGGGATTCCATGGGCCGGCCTGTGGCTCACTCGGTAGAGTGCGGTGCAGATAACACCAAGGCCATGGGTTCAGATCCCATATAGGGATGGCCGGTTTGCTCACTGGATGAGCATGGTGCTGACAACACCAAGTCAAGGGTTAAGATCCTCTTACTGGTCATCTTTAAAAAAAAGGGGGGGGGGGATTCCATGACAAAATAAAAATTATAAAAGAAAAAAAAAAGTGATCAGTGTCTAAGTAAAGAAAAATATGAAGCAGTTAACAGTACAACACTCTAATGTCAAGTGTGACTGAAAAGTTCGTATCATAGCCTGTGGCACATTGTAGGTACTTAATATATTTAGATGAGTGGACAAAGAAGGAAGGGAGAAAGTAAGGTACAAGTGATATATATGTGAGTCATTAGCCATATTGACTGGAGTGGTCAGGGAAGGCTTTGTGATGAAGTGGTACCTAGGTTGGTTACTGAAATTCTGAAAGCAGTAATCTGCATGTGTGGCCTACTCAAAGGTAGTGGAATGAATGAAGGTGGAGAAGAAGAGTGATCATGTCTGGGAACTAGTAAACCAGACTAACTGCACCTCTGATGTTTGCTATTTAGAGAGGAACATTGAAGCAAGGTTCTCTGAGATAGTGGGGCCAGATTTTTGGAGAGGTTTTCTAGCTTTCATCAAAATCTCAAAGAGATTTTTGACCTCAAGGAAGATTAGAAATAACTGTATGCATATATAAATGAAGGAGGGCATATTCTAAAATAGATTGCTCTTTATTGCCTATGTTTGGGGGACTCATTTTGGAGCTGGATTGATACTTAAGAGTTTGTGTGGTTTTTAAAAATTGGTCTCCGTAATATTCTTATTTTTTTTAAGGATGGTTCCGTAATTTACAGATAAAAGACAAGAATTTATTTTAAAGTTGGCTGCCATCAAAATTGAAGAAGAGAGAACATTTTTAAACAATTGAAAGCCTATATTTATTCTCAAATTCATAAAGCAAAGTCTGTGGAAAGGTGATACCTAAACTAAGCCTTAGGAAAGCCAAATAGGAATTAGCCTGGTATGAAAAATAACAGGGCAACTCCCATTTAAACAGGACATAGGTAAACAAGAGGTAATTGAAGTGGCAGACCAGAGAAAGCTGAAACCCAAGCCTGCTGGAGGAGAGTAGAAACCTAACAAAAAGCAAAGTAATTAACTCCACAGATCCCTAGAAAGTCTCAGAATTTGGAAGCGTTGAGTTCTGCTGAAGGTGGAAGATAGTGGTGGACACAAGAGACTGGCTTGGAAGTTTAAGGAAGAGTAGTTACCTAGACCTCTTCCCAGCCTGCAGAGTCTGGCAGCTGCTGCTTTTCTTCCTCTCAGAGGATAGGAAATTTACTTTCTGGAGCAGATTTTAGTACTAAAGATGTAGGTGAGCCATTGTTTTGAAAACAAGAGTGAGGGAAAGTTTGAATACTGAATAGTGAGAAATCTACCCTTTCTGGGCTCCCAAGAGAAGAGCTCAGCCTTCACTACTTCTAGTCAGTTCCACTCTTAAATATAAGCAGATAGCCAAGGATCACCAAATGAGTGATCTCCAGCACGGGACAACAAAATGAAACAAAGGGAGTAGAAGAAAATGTTGTGAAATTTGTTGGGGGGAGCTAGGGTAGATATTGAACAAATAAATCTCATAGAACAAAAAGATAAACAGCTGGAAGATAGAGAAAAGACAAAGTAAAAATATAGGAGGGCTAACATCTGAATAAAGGAGTTCCAGAATGGAAAGTCAGTGGGGGAAGGGAAATAATACAAGAAAAACTTAATTTACACTAAATACAGAGCATAATGTCAGGAAAAAGACCCATTCCAAGGTACATCATCACGACATTTTAGAACACAAGTGAAAAGAGAATTTTTTTCAGACAGGAAAAACACAGATTACCTGCAGAAGATCAAGAATCAGAATCAGAATGGCAGAAACACTGAATAGTAGAAGAAAATGGAATGATGCTTCTATTTCTTTTTTTTTTTTTTTGGTGGCTGGCCAGTATGGGGATCCAAACCCTTGACCTTGGTGTTATCAACACCACGCTCTAACCAGTTGAACTGGCCAGCCCAGCTTTTAAATTTGGGGGACAATAATTTTCAACCTGGAAGTCTAGAATAACAGCCAAGTCAGAAATATGCTTTAGTGGGGAATACAGGTGTCTTCATCATGCAAAACTTTATATTTGTGGTGTCCTGTTGTCGGGCAGGAATCTCAGATCCTTTTAGCCCCTTCCTGTGCAGGTCGTGAGTCAGGTAGTTGAAAGAAGACCCTGGCAACTTTATGCAAGGTAGACATACTTTATTCTTCAGATGTGAGCCTCACAGGCATGTTTTATTCTCAGATGTGAGCTCTGCCACCCACTCTGCTGATCTCCCAGGCTCTGCTGACCAGCAGTTAAGAGCAGTTACCTTTTACTCTTAGTACACAATAGCGGCCATAAGCCAAGCATTACATAATTACAGCAATCATGCTGCATCAGTATATGGGCACACATGCACAGTCACACTACTTTTTATAACTTGTTTCTAGTGAATGTGTTGAATTTTGCCCATTTGTAACATATGCGAGGCGAGAGATCCTGACTAAACTTTTCCTACTTTCCTTACACGTGTGTACCTTTTTTTAAGATGCTATTGGAGGATGTGTTCCTTCAATGTGAGATAGTAAGCCCAAGAAAGAAGAAAATCTTTCCTGAGATCTAGGAGTCTAACAGTGTGTACCTTTTTTTAAGATGCTATTGGAGGATGTGTTCCCTCAATGTGAGATAGTAAGCCCAAGAAAGAAGAAAATCTTTCCTGAGATCTAGGAGTCTAACATATAAGGCCCAAATATCAAACAGTACAAACACCCTTCCAAATGTGGAAAAAAGTAATTATTGGTGATAACTTTTAGTGACTAAAATCCATTGTTGATTACAGAAAACCATGCAAATGAAGAAAATGAGCAATTTTTAATGCAGGGAAAATTGTTTTATATGAAAGCATAAGGAATACTGGTTTGCTTTATGGCTTACCTTGACCACTGAATGCTGATGAAAATTATGGGCAAATGAAATGGCAATGCCATTCCCTGACCTGGGGAAGAAGAGGCCTGGGGGAGGTAGCCTTCTGTTGTAACATGTATTAATTGAAATGCCTAGAAGCATCAGATGAAGAGGTGTTTGGCCGTATACACCTCTGGTACTTCAAAGAGATCTCTGTAGTCTATTGTTTCCTCTTCTGTAAAAGGAGAAAATAATCTCCATTAAATTAATGGTCGGTACTGTATGATGTGTCATTTTGAAAAAATGAGCACGGGCATTTCTTAGAATTTCAACATCTTTATAAAACTATTATAGTAGTGCATTTGTTGGAATGATTACATCAAGGTCATCTATTTTGTCCATATTCATATTTTATAATCTTATATACTTTATATGTAAAATTTTTTTCAGCCTGAAACGGAGACTTTCTACTCGTTCCTCGATTTTAAATGCAAAGAATAGGAGATTAAGTAGTCAAACGTTTGAAAATTCAACTTATAAAGATGATAATGATGATGAAGATGTTATCATCTTAGAAGAAAACAGTACTCCCAAACCCGCAGTAGATCATGATATTGAAATGAAATCAGAACAGAGTCACATTGACCAAAGTGTTGTTCAGGTTGAGCTTGTGAGTGATAATGAACCTTGTGTCCAGACTAATTTAACAAGCACCTCATCATCCAGGAGTGATCAGGAAACTACTGCAGCCACCCAGACTGAAGTACCAAGTTTAATTGTTAAAAAGGAAGAAACTGTTGAAGATGAGATAGATATAAGAAATGGTACAGCAATATTGCCCTCCTGTGGAGAAGCTGAAGTAAAGATACATGAAACCCAGGAAACCTTTGATAAATCTGCAGATGATGCCAGCTGCCAATTTAATAAACTGAGAAATGATCTACTTCTGGTTTCCCAAGAAAAAGAAAATTATAAAAGACAGTGTCATATGTTTACTGACCAAATTAGAGTGTTACAACAGAAGATAATAGAAATGAACGACAAATATGTGAAGAAAGAAACTTGCCATCAGTCTACTGAAACTGATGCTGTATTTTTACTTGAACGTATTAATGGCAAATCTGAAAGTTCAGACTTTATGGTATCTCAGTATCAGCAAGCTTTGGAAGAAATAGAAAGGCTGAAAAAACAATGTAGTGCTGTGCAGCATGTAAAGGCTGAATGCAGTCAGTGTTCTAATAGTGAGAATAAAAGTGAAATGGACGAAATGGCTGTGCAGCTTGACAATGTATTTAGACAACTGGACAAATGTAGTATTGAGAGGGACCAGTATAAAAATGAGGTGAGTTTTATCATCCAACATATGGTCGTGGGAGTCCAAGGCTATTTAAACCTTAAAGAACTGCCAATTGCTAGAATATTTTCACTTAATGATAGTATTATTTATTGAATATCTGTTACTTCACTGGATCTCAACTGGGGAGTGGGCCTCTTGGGGGCATTTTTGGTTCTTATGATGTCTTGAGATGTATATTGCTGGACAGTTACAGGTGGTGACCAGGTATGGTAAATGTTCTGTAGAGTACAGGACGTTTTTGTACAATGAAGAATTGTTCTCAAAATAACAACATCATTCCCAGTAAGACACTCAGTTACTCAATATGGTAGAACCTTTACCTCCATTATTAATACATCTTACAATACCCAGACAAGGTACGTGGTAGTATCCTCATTTTATAGATTTATTAGTTAGGATTAGGTTTGTGTGCAAGTGACATAATACTCCAAACAAAGTGGCAGCTCCACCGTCATCAGAGATGTAGGCTTCTTCTGCATTGTTGCTGTGCTTCTCAACGTGCAGTTGTTTGAGATGGCTCTTGAGGTCTAGGCACCATATCTGCATTCCAGGCAGCAGGAAAGAGAAGATGTGTGGTTTCTGGAAGTTGCTTATGTTCCATCTGTCAGAATTTAGTCATCTGGCTAATGAGTTCCTGGGAAATGTAGTCTTTATTCAAGGTTCTTTTACAGAGGATGGAGAAAAATGATAGATATCAGAAGACAAGTAGTAGCTGCTGCATATGCTCTCACTTCAACTTCAGGTAGCTCCTTTTTAATCTATTTTATATACTAATCTTAATGTGTTTGAAAGGGTTTCCCTGCTAAAAAGAGTTCGGAAACCACAATATAGTGCTGTACTGCCTCTTCCTGGAAATACTGCTGACATAACTGCTCATTTAAACTCTCATCTTGATTTATTGGTTCAGGAGCTGGATGACAAAATACAAATGCTCCTTGATGTATAATAGGGTTATGTCTAGATAAAACCCATTGTGAATTGAAAATATCGTAAGTCAAAAATTTATTTAATATACCTAACCAGCCAAACATCATAGTTTAGTTTACCTTAAACGTGCTCAGAAACTTACATCAGCCTACAGTTGGATGAAATCATGCAATACAGAGCCTATTTTATAATAAAGTGTTGAATGTCTCATGTAATGAGTACTGAAAGTACAAAGCAGAATGGTGGTATGGGTACTTGAAGTTCAGTTTCTACTGAATATGTATTGTTTTCACACCATCATAAAGTTGAAAAGACATTAAGTCAAACCATCGTAAGTCGGGAACTGTCTGCATATTAAAATCAGTGTAGGGCCGGCCCAGTGGCGCACTGCTACAGTGCGCCGCTTGGGAGCGTGGTGGCGCTCCC